TATAACAGATCTTGAGTTGATGGAAATATTGAAATGTACCAAGTCTGGAATGAAATCGAATGTAAATTTCGCTGTTTATAAACCTCATGGATATTCAAAATTTTAACCCTTTGTGGGGAAGGTACCAAAAGGAACGGTACGATCTCTACCATCATTATAACACATCTTGTGTTGATAGAAATATTCAGATGTGCCAAGTCTAAATGGAATCGGATGTTAATTTCGCGTTTTTTTCGGGCTTAATGGATATTCAAAATTTCGACCTTTTGTGGAGGAGGTAACAGAAGGAGTGGACCGATATATTCCATCTTAACGCCAGACCTTGGGCTAATAAAATTATTGGGATGTGTGAAATTTGAAGACAATCGGACTTTATAAGAGTTGTAATTATTCCAAATTTTGACCGTTTTTGGGGGTGGAACTTGATGGAGTGGACCGATATTGTCCATTTTTGCACATAAGTGAGAACTGAGGCAAATATTAGGATTAGCAAAGTTGGAGCAAAATCAGATCATCTTTTCTCTTTCCGTACAGAAAATGTATATTTTGAAAATTTCGATCATTTGTGGGGGAGGTACCAGAAGGAGTGGACCGATATCTTCCATCTTAACACCAGACCTTGGGTTAATAAAATTATTTGGATGTGTGAAATCCTTTATCCTTTCGCTTTCTGTGCAATAAATTATTTTCTTTGAAAATATTGACATTTTGTGGGGGAGGTACCAGAAGGAATGGACCGATATTGCCCATCTCCGAACTCGATCTAAGTTTGACAAAAATATTACGATGCACCAAGTTTGGATTAAATCGGATACTTCCTTCGAGAGTTATCGTGCGCACCAGCCCCACAAGATAGACATGAAATATCCCGAAATGGTTTTGGTCCAAAGAGACATAGGGTCTAATACCGTTATTTCGATGAGGCACGTTTTGGGCGTATCAAATGATATATACCCTCTGTAGCCGCCATATGGCTACAGATATTTTTCCTAGTATTATTACACGTAAACCAGGATTTTTTTTTAATTTTTTTTTCCAATATTATTACCATTAAACTTTTTTCAACATTTTTTCCCAGTATTTTTAAAATTAAACGTGAAGTTTTTTAAATATTTTTTCCCAGTATCATAATATAAATACTGGGAAAAATATTTTAGAAAAAAACAGTCCAGTTTAAATAACCGGGGAAATTATTTAAATACATCTCTGCTTTACCAATATTAATACTGGGAAAATATTAAAAACATCTTTAAAAAACCTCCTAAGAAATCATGTTTATTTGAGTTAGTGTTAATTGAATAAATGTTCTTGAAAATCCATATTTTGGAGCCAGATGTTCCTTGGGGAAAAAATCTCAAAACACCGACTTTTATCATAAAAAGATCTTCGAATTTATTTTCAACATTTCCAATATCCACGCAACAACAATAATTACTCGCATCAAAACATGTCATGTACTGAAAACGCGTGCCTGAAATTCAATTCCAATAAATAAAAGTCATTTTACATAAAAACAGAAGCAGTAATCATGTCAACCAACCTCCCTCCCTCTCTCCCGATTCTCCCCTCTCAATGGTAAGCGCTCATATTCCAACACAATTGATTTGTGGTTTAATTGACAGATAATAATTATTAATAATAACAACAACAAAAAACACAACATCGTTGGAAAAACTATCCCACAAAGCCAGAAAATCTTGTACAATTATCGGGAAAATTAACAATAATGCGATGAGTTTTGAATTTGGTTTGACAAATGCAACAGCATCATTGCGGAGTCTCATCAAATTTATAAGAAAATTGCTGCTGCCGCTCATCATCCGCTTGATGAATTTCGCAAGCAGCAGCAACAGCAAAAGAATGTGGAAAACTTTTTTTCACTCAATTTTCGCCAGTGAGAAGAGAAGGGAGATAGACATGGGGGGTTCATTGATTGCGCGAATACCAAGTCATTGTTTGAAGAATGTTGTCTTTCAAACAAGAAAACGAAATGAATGAATGAAACTAAAAAACTTAATAAAGATTTATGAGCCACTTTTTCGATGTTGACAGCATTTTATTATTGAAAAATTAATTTCAACAGGCAAGACAAGTACAAACGCATATTAAATATTAATTTTAAGCCATCAAATTGTGATGGACAACTTTCAGGAGAATTCCATTACTGGGTGGCACAGGAAAATCTCTTCGGCAAGGAAATTAAGAAGTAATCGGGTTCCAATAGACCAGCTATTGTAATTATTTTTAAAGTGGCACAATTATTGATTTTTTTTTTTTTGGATGATGTGTTTAAATCGTCCCTAAAATATTTTTCCCAGTATTATTAAATGTGGATTTCTTAAAATATTTAAATATTAAATATTTATCCACTATTAATAATATTAAATGTTTCTCACTATTTATATTTTAAATTTTTTCCCAGTATTAGTATTATAAAATGTGGATTTAAAAAAAATTTCCATTAATATTAATATTAAACGTGAATTTTTAAAAATATTTTTTCTACTATTAATAACATCAAACTTGGATTTTTTTAAATTTATTTTTCCCAATATTAGTACTATAAGACGTGAATTTTTTTAAATATTTTTCAAGTATTAGTAATATAAGACGTGATTTTTTTTATATATTTTTTCCCAGTGTTTGTATTACATAACGTGGATTTTTAAAAATATTTTTTCCCAGTATTTGTATTACATAACGTGGATTTTTAAAAATATTTTTTCCCAGTATTTGCATTACATAACGTGGATTTTTAAAAATATTTTTTCCCAGTATTTGTTTTATATAACGTAAATTTTTAACAATATTAATTTTCATTATAATTACGTGGATTTTTAAAAATATTCCTTCCTAATATTAATATTATATAACATGTATTTTTTTTAAATATTTTTTCCCAGTATAAGTATTATAAAACGTGGATTTTAAAAATATTTTCCAATTATTAGTACAATTTAATACGGATTTTTAAAAATATTATTTCGCAGTATTAATATTATGTAACATGGATTTTTTAAAATTATTAGTATTATTTAATACGGATTTTTAAAAATATCATTTCCCAGTATTAATATTATGTAACATGTATGTTACTATGTAAATGTTTTAAATATTTCTTCCCCACTATTATTAATATTACACGTGGATTTTTTTAAAATATTTTTCCCACTTTTATTACTAATAAACGTGGATTTTTTAAATATTTTTTCCCATTATTAATACTATTAAACGTGGATTAGTTTAAATATTTTTCCCACTATTAATAATATTACACATGGATTTTTTAAAATATTTTTTCCCCACTATTATTAATATTAAACGTGGATTTTTTAAAAATATTTTTCCCACTATTAATAATTTAATGTTATTTTTTTAAAAATATTTTTCCCACAATTAAAAGCAATAAGCGTGGATTTTTTAAAATATTTTATTAATAATATTAAACGTGGATTTTTTAAAATATTTTCCCACTATTAATAATATTAAACGTGGATTTTTTAAAAATATTTTTCCCACTATTAATAATATTAAACGTGGATTTTTAACAATATTTTTCCCACTATTAATAATATTAAAAGTAGATTTTTCAACAATATTTTTCCCAGTATTATTGCTATCAAAAGTAGATTTTTTAACAATTTTTTCCCAGTATTATTACTATTAAAAGTAGATTTTTTAGCAATATTTTTCCCAGTATTATTGCTATTAAAAGAAGATTTTTTAACAATATTTTTCCCAGTATTATTGCTATTAAAAGTAGATTTTTTAACAATATTTTTCCCAGTATTATTGCTATTAAAAGTAGATTTTTTAAAATATTTTTCCCACTATTAATAATATTAAACGTGGATTTTTATAAATATTTTTCGCACTTTTAATAATATTAAACTTGGTTTTTAAAAATATTTTTCCCACTTTTAATAATATTAAACTTGGGTTTTAAAAATATTTTTCCCACTTTTAATAATATTAAACTTGGTTTTTAAAAATATTTTTCCCATTATTATTTATATCAAACGTCGACTTTTTTTAAAATATTTTTCCCATTATTATTTATATCAAACGTCGACTTTTTTAAAATATTTTTCCAATTATTTTTTATATCAAACGTCGACTTTTTTTTAAATATTTTCCGATCATTAATTAATTTATTTATGAAATATTTTCCCGGTATTTTTAAACGTGGATTTATTGAAATATTTTCCCAGTATTTTTAAATGTAAATTTTTCAAATTATTTCATTCCCGTTATAATTTATTAAAACATTTTTCCCTGTATTTTTAAACGTATATTTTTCCAATATTGTTTCCCAGTATTTTGTTGTTGCAAAATCGTATTATTTATATTTTGTAACGTATTTTTCCAAGTATTATTTCTATTTTTTTAAAATATTTTTTTCAGTATTGTTTCTATTTTTTTAAAATATTTTTTTCAGTATTGTTTCTATTTTAAAAAAATATTTTTCCCAGTATTATTTCTATTTTTTAGATATTTTTCCTCAATATTAATATTTTTAAATATTTTAAAGAATATATTTTCCCCCATATTAGAATTGAACATGAATTTTTAAAATATTTTTCCCAGTATTATCACTAGTAATATTACTATAAAAACGTGGTTTTGTTGAAATACTTTTCCCGGTGTACTACTATTAAATGTGAAGTGCTTAAAATGCTAAAATATATTTCCCAGTATTTAACATGATTTTTTTTAAGTTTTTTCCCAGTATTTTTTCAAATATATTCTCATATTAAATTTTTTTCCCAGTATTAAGCGTGGATTTTTTTAAATACTCTCCCAGTATTTCATACTGTCACAGCATTAAATATTTTCCCAGAGTGGATGTTTTCAAATATTTTTCCCAGTATTTAATTTAGATTTTGTTCGATATATTTAGAAATAATCCGCAGTTAACATTAGCCCTTCCCAGTGGACTTTTTCGGGAAAAGTTGCATACCTAAATAAAGAAAATTTATTAATTCTCAAAGCTTACTTACCAAATTTGAATCAGAAAATATCTGAAAATAGAAAATAAAAAAAATATAATTAGTTTTGATATTTCTCTAAAAAATGTTTGCTGGGTAATAATATGTGCCGTAATTTACACAGTTTGTCATAGCCATATAATACAAAGTGAGCCATCATCTTTATTGTCAAAAGATGCCATCAAAGATGTCGGAGAGAGAGATAGGTGTCTCTGTTGTGCATCCTAACTGAAGTTGTCAACATCTTGGCAGTGAGGTTTGACAGAAATATTTCCCTACCTCCCCTCTCGTGCTTTAATAACAATTAATATATTACGGTGGCTGTCCAAATGACTGATACTCATTTTTTGTGTCTTAATTTTTTTCAGTCATTTTTTCAAGAAATGAAATGAAATTAAAAAAATGGTATTTAAGTGGACAACTTAATTTGATGTGCAACATTTAGAAATTGAATTGTTTTATAATGATTCCACAAATGATAATGGCCAAATGGGCAATGTCTTGATTTTGAATTGTAAGACAAAGCGAGAAAACGACTCGTAACTCATTCGAATGCTCAGTGTGTGTGGTTTTGAAGGCGAATATTTCATGCTTTCATGTTGAAATTTTCACAATCTCTGCCACTGGCTGGCTGTCAGGTGATGCCTTTCAACAACGCCCATATGCTGGCCGGATAACTTGATTTGACATCATGACCAGCAACCAGCTGATGCCGCAGTGAACACAGATCATAGCCATTCCAAAATAAACTCAAATTCAGGTAGTCAGTCCACACACCAGGTTATTTGCATCTAATGTCCTGTAATTGTCCGGTAATTGTAATGGTAACTGTTTTCTCTTTGACCAGTCCTTGTCATGGTCAAAAGCAGTTCCACAGAATAGCGGCTTAGCATGCAAGTCTCACAGCTGACATGGATGTAGACCGTTATTTTGGCAGAACTTGTTCAGCCACACAGAAAACTTATTTATTCTAGATCACGATTTTTTCTAATTTGGAATCAAATTGGAAACGTGGAGTTGATCACAAGAAATTGGGGCAAATTTGAAAAAAAAAAACATTAGGAAAACCGATTTTTTTTTTCAATAAAAAAATAAAGAATTTTTAAAGAATATTTTTTCAAGGCCCAAAAGAAACGTGGATTTTTTAAAGAATATTTTTTAAGGCCCCACAGAAAGTTATTTTTTAAAGAATATTTTTTCAAGGCCCAAAAGAAACGTGGATTTTTTAAAGAATATTTTTTTAAGGTCCATGAGAAACGTGGATTTTTTAAAGAATATTTTTTAAGGCCCCACAGAAAGTTATTTTTTAAAGAATATTTTTTCAAGGCCCAAAAGAAACGTGGATTTTTTAAAGAATATTTTTTTAAGGTCCATGAGAAACGTGGATTTTTTAAAGAATATTTTTTTAAGGTCCATGAGAAACGTGGATTTTTTAAAGAATATTTTTTCAAGGCCCAAAAGAAACGTTGATATTTTTTTAAAAAATATTTTTCTACGCCCCAAATAGGAACCTGGATATTTTAAAGAATATTTTTTCAAGGCCCAAAAGAAACGTGGATTTTTCAAAGAATATTTTTTCAAGGCCCAAAAGAAACGTAGATTTTTTCAAAGAATATTTTTTCAAGGCCCAAAAGAAACGTGGATTTTTTTAAAAACATTTTTTCAAGGCCCAAAAGAAACGTGGATTTTTTTCAAAATATTTTTTCAAGTCCCAAAAGATACGTGGATTTTTTAAAGAATATTTTTTCAAGTCCCAAAAGATACGTGGATTTTTTAAAGAATATTTTTTTCCAGGCCCAAAAGAAACGTGGATTTTTTAAAGAATATTTTTTCAAGGCCCATGAGAAACGTGGATTTTTCAAAGAATATTTTTTCAAGTCATAAAAGAAACGTGGATTTTTCAAAGAATATTTTTTCAAGTCATAAAAGAAACGTGGATTTTTCAAAGAATATTTTTTCAAGTCATAAAAGAAACGTGGATTTTTCAAAGAATATTTTTTCAAGGCCCAAAGAAACGTGGATTTTTTAAAGAATATTTTTTCAAGGCCCATGAGAAACGTGGATTTTTTAGAATATTTTTTCAAGGCCCAAAAGAAACGTGGATATTTTTCAAGGCCCAAAATTAATGTGGATATTTTTTCAAGGCCCAAAAGAAACATGGATTTTTCAAAGAATGTTTTTTCAAGGGTCTTGAAAAATATTTTTTAGAAAATTCACGACCCTAAAGGGTCTTGAAAAAAATATTTCTTAGAAAATGCACGTCCCTAAAGGGTCTTGAAAAAAATATTTCTTAGAAAACTCACGTCCCTAAAGGGTCTTGAAAAAAATATTTCTTAGAAAATTCACGTCCCTAAAGGGTCTTGAAAAAAATATTTCTTAAAAAATTCACGTCCCTAAAGGGTCTTGAAAAATATTTTTTTTAAAAATCCACGTTTCTCTTGGGTCTTGAAAAATATTTTTTTAAAAATCCACGTTTCTCTTGGGTCTTGAAGAAATATTCTTTTAAAAATCCACGTTCCAAAAGGGTCTTGAAAAAATATTATTTTAAAAATCCACGTTCCAAAAGGGTCTTGAAAAAATATTCTTTTAAAAATCCACGTTCCAAAAGGGTCTTGAAAAAATATTCTTTTAAAAATCCACGTTCCAAAAGGGTCTTGAAAAAATATTCTTTTAAAAATCCACGTTCCAAAAGGGTCTTGAAAAAATATTCTCTTAAAAATCCACGTTCCAAAAGGGTCTTGAAAAAATATTCTTTTAAAAATCCACGTTCCAAAAGGGTTTTCAAAAAATATTCTTTTAAAAATCCACGTTCCAAAAGGGTCTTGAAAAAATATTCTTTTAAAAATCCACGTTCCAAAAGGGTCTTGAAAAAATGTTCTTTTAAAAATCCACGTTCCAAAAGGGTCTTGAAAAAATATTCTTTTAAAAATCCACGTTCCAAAAGGGTCTTGAAAAAATATTCTTTTAAAAATCCACGTTCCAAAAGGGTCTTGAAAAAATATTCTTTTAAAAATCCACGTTCCAAAAGGGTTTTCAAAAAATATTCTTTTAAAAATACACGTTCCGAAAGGGTCTTGAAAAAATATTCTTTTAAAAATCCACGTTCCAAAAGGGTCTTGAAAAAATATTCTTTTAAAAATCCACGTTTCTCTTGGGTTGAAAAAATGTTATTTTAAAAACCCACGTTTCACTTGGATCTTGAAAAAATATTATGTAAAAAATCCACGTTTCTTTTGGGTCTTGAAAAAATATTCTTTAAAAAATCTACGTTTTCCTTGGGTCTTGAAAAAATATTTTTTAAAAATCCACGTCTCTTTTGGGTCTTCAAAAATTATTCTTTAAAAAATCCACGTTCCTCTTGGGACTTGAAAAAATATTATTTTAAAAATCCACCTTTCTTTTGGGCCAGAATCCAGGATCTCGAACAAAATTCCCCCAAAGATCAATGCAGTTTTGAAACGTGTGTTTTTTACAAAATATATCTAATAATAAAATAAAGAAGCTTATTTTCTAATTTACTTTCATATTTTCCAATTTCGATATTGATAATTTAATAATCAATACCTGAGCTCCATTTCATCAAATTACTATAATCTTTAGCATAACAAATTTGATGGACTTTTTTATGGAACCTTTCTCTTTTTTCGAATCTAAAAGAAATTATGATTCGACCTGGCTGTATGAAATTTAACTTTTTCATATCAAAAAACAGCAAAACTTTCAAACCATGTTTTTCCTTAAAGCGAAATGTTAGTAGATTTCAAAGGCCAAAATATCATCAAACACCCATCCTCCTTACCTTCCCTATAATAATATACCACAGCAGTCCGACTTGCTTGAAAATATTCAAAATGAACAAAACGTGATTTATGCCCAGCAAAATGTCAGACGCCGCCGCCTTATCTTGGCTGCCTGCAAAACATTTAAAGTGGAAACTAACAATTGAAACGAACAACAAACGGCAAAGCGACTGTCTGTCTGTCGGTCTAATAGGCGAAGTAGACAAAGAAAATCAGTCTCACTGTCTGTCTGTCTCTTTGTCTCTCTATCGGTTTAGTCATCCATGGAGTTGGAGGCTCACACAAAGAGAAAAGCTGGATTAACAGGGAATCATTTTTTTCCCAACTTCAGCTTTGGCATTGGAAGTTTCCAGTTTTTTGTCTTTTTTGTATCAAAAAGCAATTTATAAGAGTCGCTTTGAATTGGACTAAGGAAGGAGCCGCACTTCAAATAGAAAAAAAAACTCTCCAAACGAAGGAGAAGGCGTAACAAAACACGAATCAGAGTTAGTCAAATGGAAACGAAAGGAACTACCAGCCACCATCATCCAGGCGGAATGGATGGCCTTTGTGCGGCAGCTGTAACAGATTTGCTGTTGTAACATCTTGGCAACATTCAAATTGTTTGGAAAGGAGCTAACATGGTTTCATAGATATGGAACAGGGTTGCCGTTATGGAAAAAATTGGACCTTGGGAAAATAATTCTTAAAAAATTACATTTCAATTCGGGGTTTGGGAAAAAAATTCTGAAAAAATAACATTTTAATTCGGGGTTTGGGAAAATAATTTAAAAAAAATCCACATCTCCATTTGGGGTTTGGAAAAATATTTTTAAAAAAAATCCACGTCTCCATTTGGGGTTTAAAAAAATATTTTTAAAATATCCACATCTCCATTTGGGTTTTGGAAAAATATTTTTAAAAAAAATGCACATCTCCATTTGGGGTTTAGAAAAATATTTTTAAAAAATCCACATCTCCATTTGGGTTTTGGAAAAATATTTTTAAAAAAATCCACATCTCCATTTGGGTTTTGGAAAAATATTTTTAAAAAAATCCACGTCTACATTTGGGTTTTGGAAAAATATTTTTAAAAAAATTCACGTCTCCATTTGGGTTTTGGAAAAATATTTTTAATAAAATCCACGTCTACATTTGGGGTTTGGAAAAATATTTTAAAAAAAATCCACGTCTCCATTTGGGGTTTGGAAAACTATTTTTAAAAAATCCACGTCTCCATTTGGGGTTTGGAAA